CAATTTGCGTAGCGCATCGGTATTTTGTCGGCCGAAGTTTTGTTGTTTCCTCTGCCCGCGTCGCTGCTGCTGCTGCTGCTGCAATGGGTGTAAAATTGTTTGTAGAATGCACAGGCGGACGGCACTGTCCATGGATTCTTGTGGTGCTGTTGAAACTGAGAGCTGCCATTGCCATTGTTCCAGTCGGGCGCTAGGGAAATGGAATTGTGGAATTGTAACACGGACAGGAGTGCACTGCTTGTTGCTGTGCAAAGGAATGTGATAGAAAAGGCTTCATAGATTGGGGAGAAGGAATTGGTCTTGGAAAACATTTTACTGGGCCAATTACTGGGAAATTATCTGCCTAGCTGTAGAGAAACCCAGCTTGTATGAGATACTCTTTAAAAATCTTAGAGGTACCATGCCCCTAAACCCCCTTTGCCTGTACGCCGCCACTGGGTTTCAGCACTGTTAAGCCTTAACAGAGTCCCCCAAAGCAGCATCACTTGCCGTTAGACCAAAAAATGGAATTGGAACAGTACTTTCCTCTCTCTCTCTCTCCCTTGGCGTGCAATCTCGCACGTTCCGGCACTCTCCAGATGCAATCTCTCACGTGCGGGCTCTCTTTCTCTGCCGCGGCTCAGGCGCCTGCGCTGCTACGAACCAAGCCGAAACGAAGTCAAATTCCGATGCTGTCCGGACACGGATACGGGGACCCGGAATACGGTAGAACTCGTGAAAGAACAGCGCGGCAGCTCGGACAAAGCGCAGCGTGCTCCACATATTCTTTAGCCCTACTTACACACATACACACACACACACACACACACACACACACACACAGAGATACACCCCCGCAAACGCACACTTACATGCATACCGTTAGATTACAGTGCGGCGTTGCCCATTAGCTGATGCCCATCGCGGCAGCGCTGCTCATTGTTCTGCCCGCGTCGCTGTCGAGGGGTTTTTTTGTTGTTTATTCTGCTGCTGCTGCGCTGCCTTGAGCTGTTATCACCAAACATTGACGCCGCTGCTGATAACAGCAAAGCGTGTGGCAGAGTGTGCCAATGGAGGCACATTAAAACCAACAACAACGACCCAATTTTTTGCTGCTCTTTGCTGCTCCTCCCTCCCGATAATCCCCTGAGGTGGTCATTGGCCCTACTTTTGGGGATTCCCGAGGGTCTTACAAAGGTATTTCGATTGGTTTTCCACTAAAGGAATGTACAGGGTAGGCCTGGGCGTAGAAGAGTCCTTGGAACGGGCAAGGAATCTGCTGGCAGGCAGGGACAACTCTAAGCTGGACCATAAAACAGACAATAATTTGATAGAATTACACATCGAATATATTTATTACCTCTTATGGAGGGGGGGACATCCTTGGATGGAAGCTGAATCATAGTTATATTTTAGAGAAGACCTGTTTTGGTCTTTGCATTGGTCTTGGATGTTCCTTATCGCATCAACAGAAGCAATCTCTTAAGTGTCCCCTGCGGAGTCCTCCCTCTCTGCCTTCTCTGTCTGTGTATTTGGGAGCCTTTCTAAATAACTTGCCAAACGGAAAAACGATTTAAATAAACAGCTACTACCAACAACAACAACAACAGCAAAAAGGAAAAGAAAATGAACATTCCTGCCCATTTTAATTCTCATGTTTAACTTTGAACATTTTCCACGTACCCTGCCCCTCCCCCCTGCCCACACTACTTGAGCTTCTCCATCACCTTCAGGTTACCGCCCCCCCTGCGCCTGCCCCACCCCTCAACTTAATTAAATGTTGAGGGGGAAAAACGCTTTTCATTTAGGCTGCATAAATTACAAAGCAAAAGTGCCACTTGGAAAACTTCAAGGAGAAAGGCCAGGCCAGGCCTCCCTCCTCGCCCCGAGGCGTTGACTAGTGGTCTAAACGATGGGGGCGGGCTCTCTGCTGTTCCCTGCTCTGTCTTAGTTTATGCAAAAAATAAAATAACTGTTCCGCCACACACAGAGTCTGTTATTGTTGCTGGCCATTCTGTTATTTTGCTTAAATTTGGTTAAGTGAGTGGGAAAGCTGCTTAAAGTTGGGGCCACACGACACGTACCTCCCAAAAGTACAAAATTCCTGATGAAACCTCGTCTCCTCGCAGGCTCTTGGGCGAATGAATCGTCTAAATCTAGGGGGGGAAAGGCTTTTAGTGGGACTCTCGTGGTGCCCACCATTTCGCAGATTGATGTTGCCCTCAGAACAATTTGCTCGCCGCAGGACATTTGCTCGGAAAATGGCGCTGGCGAATGTCCTGTGGCGAGTTACTCTTTCCCTGTTGGCTTGTCATTTGTTTATTCGGTTTCTACTTATTGTAATTTATGGGCAGGCAGCGATTTATGATTACATTGTGATTTATAGCCGCGTGGCAGGAGCCAGGCCAGGACTGCCAGGACTGCCCACAGAACGCGGCCACCTCTCACCTAATGTCACACGGCTGGCTGAAAAAAAAGTTTCCCCAGCAAGTTGTCGAAAGTTCTTTAGCACTTTTTCAGCTGCTTGTTTCAGCTGCTTTCGCCCCGAAAAACTTTGCCCCTTCGATATTGTTGCAGGCACAAAAAATGGCATACAATCTGTCAACGTAAAGCAGGAGCCTCCCCCCCAGCCCCAGCCCCAGTCCCAGCCGCAGCCCAAGGCCCAGACGGCGCTGGCGTTGGAGCCCAAGAAAATCAATTGAAAATTGGCCATCGACTTGGATGGAGTCTCAGGTGTTTATGGAAACTTTTTTATTACAAATCCAGCAAAGGATTTTCCATCCATCCCCTGTCAATCGAGAGTCCGGTTCAATGGCTGGGGAGGATTTCATTTTAAAGTCCCTTTTTGGGGCTGGGCCGGGCCCAAGCTTCAAGCTGTTTCGTGCTTAATTTTACAATTGCCAATTACATTTCCATTAGGGGAGGGATGCTCACTCTCATGCTACCCTCCATCTTCTTTGTTTTTTTATACATTTTTCATGTACTCGCTCACGGCATCATTTTCACCTGACCGGCAACTGACAGGCGACGCGTGTTGTTGTGTTCATGTGCCTCATGTTGCGGCTGTTTCCGCCTGAAATGTCAAACAAACAGCACAAATTAGGCAGCAGAGGGAGGGAGACGGAGACGGAGACAGAGACAGAGACAAAGACAGAGACAGAGACAGAGGTGATGCCTGTGGTAATGCGCGTGAATTGTAAAACTTTATTTTGACAGCTTTTGGCCTCCTCGGACACCTTGGGCCTTGGACATCCGTCAGACGGAGTCCTGGAGGTGGAGGCGGGTGTGGTGGCAGAGGCGGAGGCGCAGGCGGTTGTGGATGAGAATGCGGAAACTTTTCCCCAATTCCCGCAAATAAGCTTTAAACATTTCTGGTACAATTTTTATAAAGTTTTTATCTCTCAAAATTTCATGGAAAGTTTTCTTAAATTTATTTTCTTTCTTAAATTATATTTTTCTAAATATTTCATCTACAAAATTCTTTCAAGGGAAAATTTCTTAAATTTTCTTTTATTGAAATATTCAAATAAATAAATAGATTTGTATTCTTCCTCAATTCTTTTGCTATATATTTTAGTCAATTGTATTTATTGGCAAAAACATAATTTTGCATGTTTTATTTTACCTTTTTCCAATAATGTTACAGGAAATTTGTGTTCTAATTAAATGCTTGCCGCATATATTTTGTGTGTTTTCATTTAATTATTGTCTGTCTGTAATATTTTCTATTTCTTTGTTTATAGCAAGAAATATTTGCCATATATCCTGCCTTAGAACTCACCTGAATTGTCTTTTGTTTTGCTGAAATTATTCACCAATTTGTTCTTTCAATTTTGAAAGAAAATTTCTCAACCTTTTCATATATATATAAATACAATTTCCCTTATATTTTCTCTTGGAACAGTGGCTGTGATTTTGTCGTCAATTATTTACAAACGTCACTTATTTTTATTTCATTTTTATTTTCACGTTTTTTTTTTTTAATAATTCTGTAAATGTTGGTTTGCTGCCAAATATGGCCGAAAGTGTAAAGCGGATTACACACACACACATTAAATATTCAGCTAAAAAAATAATAATAATCCCCCAAAAAGGGGATTTTGTGGTGAGGGGCGGTTGATGGACAAATGCGCTCGAATTTCTGATTAGTCATGGCTGCAGCTCCATGTGGCAGCCAGATATTTGCTTATTTGCCACTTACCTGCGCACAAAAATCACATAATTAATTTAGCTTGAAATCTGCACGGAATCAACAAGAACCGCCTCATCTTGAGACTAATTTGGGCCCAGAGAAGTGCTTGGTAATTAGTTTTGGCAGGGCAGAACAGGGCAGGGCAGGGCAGCGATGAAATCGCTACAAAATCACAATCACAGCCAGAGGAAATTAACTCATTTCCACATAAATTAGTTCCGATTTCCGCTGGCTTCGTCTCTCTGGCGGGAATATTATGCGTCGATTATGATTAACGATCATTGGCAGAGGGCAGAACTTTCATAAATAACTCACAGGGCAGGACTCCCCGAGTGGAGTGGGGGAGTGGGGGGCTGGGCAGTGAGTGTGCACAAACGGTAAACGCCTCCCCAGGGGCGGGCCACATAAAAATATCAAACGACGCGACGTACAGATTTCTGCTTTATTTTTTTTGTATTTATGCCCAGTCCTTTGCGGGGGCCACAGGGTATATTGGTTTAGAGCACAAGCAAGGGCCTGGAACTCCATAAAGCAGCCTGGAATTCAGTCGTTTTGGATCATCCATTGGTTGTACAAAAGTCAATCTAGATGGCTCTGAAAAGTGGGCTTTCTTTCAAAAATATTTCTTGGAAAAAAATAAAAACCGAGTTGCCTTTGGAATTGCCTGCGTTTTTTGTGTAAATTCCGAGAATTTTGGGATTTTTACAGACCCTTGATATATTTTTTCTTAAGAAAAAGACTAGGAAAGCTCTTGGCACATATCAGAAGTCCTTCTTCTGGTGGAAACCTGTCCCCTCCCACAAGCCCATAGAAAAAAAATCTACAAAAATTGGTGTGCATTTCTATATTTTTAAAACATTTAACATTCTGACAAGAACAGGTTGAAGTATGTGTTGATGCAATCCGCTCGTCTCAAGACACGTGAAACGGGTCACGTGGAGCCGGGTCCCATCGCAGAAGTTCCACCTGTAAGTAGCCCATAATTAACACCCAATAATTAACACCCCTTCTCCGCCAATTACCACTCACCTTTTTTCTGATGGCCTAAGCTGGGTTTAGTCTTGTGTGAAGAGTGTCGTGCCTAAGTTGGTCCAATATCAATATCCCATGGAATGTAGTGTCGAAGTGTCAAATGTTGTCCAGCAACAAATCATTTTTCAAGCATTGTGCTGCTTGCACCACCAAATCGCCCTGGAAAAAAAATTCTTCTATTAGAGGCAAAATTTGTTTTGGAATTTTTGACAACTTACTCTGTTTGTTTCGCCCCGCATTTCACATAGTTTACTGGCAAATAATTTTGAAAAAACACTAAGAATTTTTTTTTCTCCAAAAATAAATATTGATGTTACCCAGTCGAGATCCGGAGAAACAATGAAAATATAGAAATTTTTCCCTACTCACATCGGCCGAAATTTTTCACACATGCTTTTATTCGATCTCAGAGCCTGCTATATGCTCAGCTTTTAGATCCTTTGGTAATTCCACAGCCTGCTAACTGCTCGACTTTTTGGGGGTTAGAGGGTATCCCCGTGCTGAGGTAATTTTTGGTGTATTTTTTGTAATTCCTTTTGCCTAGAAAATATTTATGAGGCCTGCACGCGGGTCTCGCCGGGCAATTTTTAAGGACACGACAGCAGGACGCTGCTGGGGGGCTTCTATCATTGCGCCGGCAATTACGCGACTCGCGGCGAAATATTACCAAAGTCATTGACTCGGTGGGGGACGGGGGGAGGGCCGTCTATGAATTATAGAAAAGACCAGTCGAAAAGGAGGAGGCGGAGACGGGAACGGAGGCGGAGAAACCTCAGACACGACTGAATATCAATGAATATGAGTTATTTGCACGCATCCGAAAGTTTTTCACTTTACAAACTCATGAAAAATACATTAAAGACAGCCCAAAGGCTCTCCCTCAAAGGCAGATTCCCCAAGATGGCCAATGGAATGGGGGTGGTGGGGGGTGGGTTGGACCACCAAAAAATCTGTCGAGTTGTAAAAAGCCAAGACGAAGGCCGGGCCCGGACTGTCATTAAAAATGAATTTGTGCCAAAAGCGCAACTAATGAATAAGGAAATCTCACTTCAAAAAAAGGAAACCTCCAAAAAGGAAAACCCCAAAATGTTTAGACGGCTCTCGTCAGCCTCGTCAAGGACCTTTGCCAATCAATCAGCTGATCAAGGAGGAGGAAAAGAAATCGTTGACCTAAGAGATTTTTTTCCCAGCTTCGATTTGTTTTGCTTTGTTTGCCCGCCTTTGTGCTAAGGACATACCCAGCCTCATGTCTGTCCCCCAGCCCGTCCTGCCCGTCCTGCCTGTCCCCCCATTTTGAATTATACATTTGACATATTAGTTCTGGCCGATAAAGAAATTGATTTCTGCCTTTCAACGGCAGCAGCAAAGCAATCTCAGTGCCTTTTTCTATAGAAAATTGAGTTATTGAGTGGTTGGTGGGTTGAATGGTTGAAAAGGGGCGTTTGGTGGGGGCCTAACGTTATTTTTGGCAGAGGTTTTAACTGGCCTAAAGTGGAAACGTAACTGCTTCATCAACTGCAGGGAACGGGAGAAAGGAGAAAGCTAAACAGGCGGGAAAGTATATCCAATCGGTTAGCAGCTGATTCTTATCGGTTGACAATGGTTTTTGTTGGTTTATCCCGCATTTTAGTCGACTAAAAACTAAAAACTTTCAGAGCTCTCCCAGAACCAATCGATCCTTGTGTTATTTTGAGAAATGCTCTCTTTTGTGGCCTTCTTTAAGATTTACTGAGCTCTACTCAGAGCGCTTTGAGGCCTTGTGCGATAAAAGAGAGAAGTACGAAGTTCTGAGCAAAATAAGACCCGAAAAGAGAGCGCTTAGGGGGAGCGGACCACCTTGCGTAAGTCCTTATGGTTTGGCCATACTCCCGCTCTCATTATGGACCGAAATGAATCGAAAACCACATGAAAACCTGTCCATGAATCCAATAACTAAATGAAAACCCGATACATATGATAGTCCGTACCAAAAGGACTCAAGGACCTCCTCCTACTCCTCTCAGTTACAGACTTTTACGAAAATAAAATCTATTCTTGGCTCCCGCACTCGATTGCAACTGAAGAGACTCTCTCCAGCTGTCTCTCATTGTTTATATTCGCCGCCAAGAAGATGTTCAATCCTTGAACGATATTATATCGACACGCGACCGATACGGACTAATGAAAAAAATCCCATACCAGATGCTCAACTGTCCGAAAGGATGGGCGCAGCGAGGGATGTCGATGTCCCTGTCTAAACAAACATTTGAGCAAGCAGCGGCCTGTCAACAGCATCGCCAGACATCCCAGGAATGGAGGGGGCTGTGATGGAGGGGGGTGGAGGGCTTTGGGGCAAATCCCAGAAGTGGACCATTGGATACAGTTGACGTATTTTGTTTATGTGCGTACACCATTGATGACAGCCGGCTGCCATTCGGGGCCGTCTATATATGGATGGGGAAACGATGGATGCCCCAGCACGTGATGTCATTAGCAACAAAAACCGAAACTGTTTCGGGATCCCCATTGGGGGAGGAGTGGGGGGGGGGGGGGGGGGGGGGGGGGGGGTGGGGGATCCCTCACTGTCCAACGCATTTGTCATAAACTAACGAAAATTTCCACGAAATTTAAGGATGGAAGCCGACACGCCAGGACCGCCGCAACCACAACGCGCGCCAAGCACACACGCCAATCAACGTCAACACCGGGAGATGGCCAACTGGCAGGACTGGACCAGCAGAGAGGGCAGTAATAGAAGCCGATACCAGTGGCATTAGCATCGGATTGGGTTCGAGCTCGGGCTCGGTTTGGATGTCCTGGGGCTGGTGCCGCCGTTGAGTGATCTATGCCGCCGCTGTGCTGCCCGTTTATTGAAATTCCTTAATGAGCATCACTCGAACAGCAGTCCCGCTCCTTCCACTCCTTCTGGCTCCCACTGGACAAACCAGCCTCGTGTTACCCTTCCTGCAGCAGCCTCCTGCCTGACTGGCGGTTCGAGTGAAATGCAATTTCAGCAGGCACTCGCCATCGCCCTCGTTGAACGATTCGAACAATGCGGAGGCAGTTTTTGGGCCAATTTGCAGGCGATTCAATTAAAACGAATATGCGAACACTTGAAAAAATTCGAGCTGCAGCCAAAATGAAACAAAAATCTACATTTTATGAAATCCAATGAGAAATTAATAAATTCTTGGCCAGAGATTTACAAGAATTTCCATAGCAAAAAATGGAATTTTATATTAAAAAAAAATGAAAGAAAATAATATTTGCACCACAAATTTTTAAAGATAATGAATGGGTATTATTTTAATGAAAATGGAATATCTTTTTTAGGGGATTCGAATCAGAATTGAGAGATATGGAGGGGCAGATGCTAAAGTGTACATTTTTCTAATTTTTTTCGGGCTGTTTCTAAGGGCCATTCTTTGGCAATTATTTATTCCATATTTCCTTTAAACAAACAGCAATTTACAAGAATTTCAATACCAAAAAATGGAATTTTATAAAGAAAAAATCACACGAAAATAATATTTAACACGACAGATTAAACATAATTGAAGGATATTATTTCAATACGTTTTCTGTATATAAAAGAAGGAATTGTAATGCAAATAGTTTATATTTTTAAGGGAATTCGAATCACAATTGAGATACATTGAGGGGCAGGTGCCACAGGTGTATTTTTTCATCAATTTACAGGCTGTTCCCAAAGTCCTTTCTTTGTCAATGGTTTAATCCCTATTTCCCCTAAAAAAAGCTGCAATTTACAAGAATTTGCAAAACATGGAATTTTATACAGAAAAATTCCACGAAAATAATATTTGCGATACGAAAGATTAAACATAATTGAAGGATATACAAAGGATTTATAAAAGTAGGCTTTGCTATGAAAATATGTTATATTTTTAAGGGAATTCGAATCACAATTGAGAGACATTGAGGGGCAGGTGCCACAGGTCTATGTTTTCCCCATTTTTCAGGCCTCTTTCCAAAGGCCATTCTTTGTCCATTTTTTATTCTATTTCCCCCCAATAAGCAGCATTTCCAGCCATCTTCCAGGCATTAATTTCAATTAATAATTCGTGGCATTTGAGAAAGTGACAAATAGAGTTAAGAGTGGCTTGGGGTCTCGGGGTCGTGGGGGTCTTGGGGGTCTTGGGGTCGGGGCCATTTTGTTGCCTGTCTGGCAAATCGTTGTTGCCAATTACCGCTAATGTTGCACAGTTGCCGCTTTCCCATAAAATTAATGATAAGAGCGCAATAAAATAAGTTTTACTACAGGAAGGCGAGTGAAGGCGAGTGAAGGCGGCTACAGTGGAAAGGCGACAACAAAGCGAGCAACAGTCGCGAGGTCGAAGCGCAACAGCTGCCAGCACACGCCCCGCGGATGAGACTCCGAGCATCCATCTATCCATCCGGCATCTTGGCAGAACCCTTCAGCCATGCCCTGCCCAGCCCAGCCCTGCCCCCCATCCGGCTTGCAGTTGTGTCAGCAAAAGGTTATGCCACAATAAAATTAAATCCAACAAGCGTGAAGTAGGTGAAGTGGTTGCTCGGTTGACTGCTCTGCTCTCCGGTGCTCCTGGCTCTCTCCTGGCTCTGCGGATGTGTCCTTTCCGTTCCTGTTTGATGTGCAGTTTTTGCGCAAATTGAAAGCCTTGGACTGGTTTTTACGACCTGGCCTGGCCTGGCCTGGGCTAATTGCCCGTCCCCTGGCTTAGAGCACGCTAATCGCCAGCAGAGCAGGTCTCTCTGTGCGAGTCCTATCTGCTCAAGGAGCTGAAACAGGCTGAACACATTAGCATATTTAACTTTTATCCTGTTTAGGCTGCCGTCCTGAAATGAGCTTTGAAATGTCGCAATATAAAAAGTCTTATATCAATCTTGTCTGCTGCTGCGATGTCCCTTTTTTTCAGTCCTGTCGTTGTCGTTGTCCTTGTTCGTCTTCGTCTTCGTCTCGGACTTGGACTTGGAAAAACTTTCGACACTGCAGGCGAGGGTGACGCACCTTTTGGAAGTCGCTCTCTCCATTTTCCATTTTCCTTTCCTTTTTTTTTCATGAATAAATTGCGCAGAATTTATGTGCAAAGTTTGGTGAGGGCCCCCACCCCCCACCCCGCCCCGCCTTGGAGGAAAGTGGCTATCGAGGAGTTTTAGATGAATCTGTTTGGCTTAGTCTGATGAGTTATCTGCGTAAATGCAGCCCGGAGGAGTACGTGGCAGTGGCAGTGGCAGGGCGGCGGCAGGGAGTTGCACAATTTATGGCTGCAATGTTAATTGAGCAACTGGGCTCTGGGTATCGGCTTGCCAAAGTTTGCCAC